AATATTTGTACACATTGATTAAGTTTGTGAGGTTTATCCATTCGTTTTTAACTAATAGTCAGTTTTAAGTTTTAGTACTTTCCTATCACGCTGTTTCATCATGTTTCATGCTAGAAGGTAAATGAGATAGCGAGTGTTTGCTCAACTTAAGGTAGAAAGAAGTGCCATTTAAGCCAAGAGTTTCGGAAGTTATTGTTAGAGCGTGTCTGTCTGTTATAGGCAGTGTTGCCAGATCGTGCGATTTTACGTAAATTTGCGACTTTTGACAAAAATGTGCTACTAAAATTTTAGTATTTGCGATTTTGCTAAATTTTTGAGACATCCACCATTTCCTTATGCTCTTTTTTGCGACTACAAAGATGTTCTGAATATATCGTAAAATGCTTTGATTTTAAAATAAGTTATTGATTAAATATAATTTATATTAAAATAGTTTATTTAGTCTTAAATAGAAGTTGACATCTGACAATCTTATTTAGATGTGGGCTTTCCATTTCAAGGCTGAAGTCTGCACAGTCTGATGCCGGTATAACGAGAAACGGGTAAGGGAAGTAAAAAAAAGTAAAAAGAAAGAAAAAAATGCTGCGGGGACCTCTCACCCTTCCTGGTCTCCCGTGCATTTTGTTTTTAAGTCAGCTCCCCCCCCCCCAGTTCTATGGTGATAATGAATCGGATCAAAGAACTTGCACCTTGCGCGCCATATATTGGGCACCCAAACAGAGAAATGAATTAAATTCATACTGCTGATTATAATATTGCTAAGAACTAAGCAATAAGCAATGGAAATGACTTAATAATCAAAGGAACGGCATTTTTCTAAATAACAACAAAAATAAATTCAACAGTAAAAGAACAAGGCTTTCTGAAGTAATCAGAATCTGAAACTGATCCACCACACAGAACGGAAAACTCACTGAAAAGCATTCCTCAATTAAAATGTTCACATTTAAAGAAAAAAACAATGAAGTAAAAAAAAATTAACTGCAAACTCAAAAAAATTAATACGAAAGAGCTAACAACCAAAACGTGAGGAATCTATTAAGAATAGATATCCGCAAATTATAAAATTGAAACTTAAATTAAATGAGAATTAATTAAAAAAGAAATGGATATTTAAACAATTAAAAATGAGCAATGTTGTTTTAAAATTTTCGTTAAAGCTAAGATATGTAAATTAAAGAGACTATAAGAATCGAATACAGTCTGTAACTTACAGAACCAATAGACGGTAAATTTGTGATGACGTCAGAGGTCATGTGAGCCTGCCTAACTATGACGTCACAAAAATTACGTGTTCTGACGGTCATTTGCGGTTTTTTGCGACTTTTTGAGTCTATTTTTGCTGCTTTAGTTGAAAATTTTCTGGTAACACTGATTCCAGGCCACGTTGTGCCGTGATTATTAGCGATTTGATTCTGTGGCGTTGAGTGCTTCTAGCCATTCGGCTCGTCTCGCCGGTTTTTATGCAAACCAGAGCTTTTCCAATGTGTTAAATTATTCTGTGAGCCATTAGGCTAATCTACCGCATTTGAATTTGTTCAACGTTACGTAGTTCTATTAAGCCAGAGTTGCTTGGCTTGTGTTAATCCAAGTTGGGTAATTGTTAATTTTGCGTTTGAATAAGGGAGTCTTATACACCCTTCTTCTAACTTTTGTATTGTTTTACAAGGCTAGATGATAATTCTTCGGTCGTCTTTTTAACAGACTTTATAAGTTTATTCCACTTATCATCTGTCATTCCTCCTCATTTTGTATTGTTCTTCCATAAATTGTCTTAGGTAAAGTTGCTTTGCCAAACAATTTGCTAGCGAAATTCTACATATTCTACTTGAAACACAAGCAAGCTCCGTACAAGTACGTATTTATGGCAATGCAGTTTCGATGTAGTGCAGATAGGAAAGAGAGAATTTTTTGTATAGCATGAAATCCTTGCTACACGGTTTAGCCTTTAAACGACAATGAAAAAAGTGATAAAAATCGATTGTGAATTTGTTCAATCACGAATGCATGAAAGGAATTTTCAGATTTGTTTCAATATTATATCCATGTAGCTCAAAAATGTAAGAATTTAAGCATTAAAGCTTCTTTTGGAGGAGTATATGATGAGGAATATAGCAATCTGAAAATTTTATCGAATAGCCAATTCGCTGTAATAGTCGAAACTGCTAAGTCATTAGAAGAAGTTCATGGACATGAGATAAGAATATATGCAGGAATATTAGTGGATGAGGATTTCACGAGAAATAAAGATGCGTAGAAATTATTAGTGAAGGTCTGATTTGATTAATCTCATTGTTAGGAAGGCCCACCAGCGGCCGAGCGGTAAAGTCGCTGAACACTGGTAGTTCGGTCCGAGGTTCGAATCCCGCGAACGGGCTGACTGCATGGGCGTTTTTGCGGTTTTGCCCCATGTGTAACGTGTATACGAGCCAGTTTCCCTTAGAAAGTCCTCCACGAAGTCATCCCTCCCCTTAGGCAGATAGCCCTCGAGGCTTTGCCATAATCATACACACACACACACACACTCATTGTTAGGATAGAAAAATTCGTGACAGCAAAAATGAAGATTTGTAGGAATTATTTGGTGGAAGAGAAATGTAATGAATAGAAATAAGTGAACCAAATGGTTAGAGAAGAGAAAATTTTTGGAATTATTATAAATGTTGTCATAAAATTTTGGAATTATTATACCAGTATGGAAGAATTATTAATAGAAGTAACGTATAATGATTACATTAGTTTAAAAGCATTAGAAGTAAAGATATGCAAGAATTAATTGTGAAAGACATGTCTGCGTAAAAGATTTTTATTAAAAAATAAATAAGCCAGACTAAATTATTTCAGCACGCAGCAAGTACGCCACTAATTTATGATATCACATTGCATTAAAATGTTACGGATTTTTAAATTTACGATTATAAATTGTCCCACAACGGCGTGTCGTAAAATTACTATTATTTCCACACTCTATGGCGTCTAAATTTATTTCATACTCCGTATCACAATTTACGAAAATGGATAAAGTGAAGCGATCCTTGTACCTCTATCTTTTTATGTGTAATTTAACTGTCGAGAGTATGTACGTTTAAAAAACTTCTTCAGCATACAAATTTTAATATTTGTTACACTGTTTAATTTAACACTCTTCTCGAAAATCATACACCTTTTACATTTTACCTTACAATACGTTTGTGAAAAATATAAAATTGAATTAAGTCATTTCCTTCAAATTTATTAGGATACATTTTATGAAAATTGGCAGCTAGAAAGGCCTCTGAAGATTCTTCTCTTTTTATCCTTAATTTGCATTTTATAAGCTCATCAGGAAACATTTGTTTCAACATGAATATTTGAGAAACTTTAATTAGAAGAAAGAATAAATGATTCTAATATTTTAAATTAATGCACAAATTTTTGTAGAGATAACGGATTTAATTATGCGTTTCGTTTCTGTGCTTATATCGATTTACATATTAGTGCTTAAAAGTGAAACATTTTGTATAAAATTATTCATGTTTATATCATTTTATGGTATAATTCTTATTATTAAAGTGCATTTTTGCATTGAATAACTATTTACACTTAATTTGTATTAATCTCATGCATATGACAACCACTTTTTCCCTCAAGAGAGCCCTATCAGTTTATAATTTAAAAGCTTTTTATTGAAGCATAATAAAACGCTCCATCTGTTATATTCAATGCATAAAATATATATACCTTTTAATTTACTTTTTTATTTTTTTGCAGATTTAGTGAAAAGAGGTAAGCACCAAGAATAAATTTGAAAGCTTCAAGGGCTATCTGCCTAAGGGGAGGGATGCCTTCGTGGAGGACTTTCCAAGGGAAACTGGCTCGTATACACGTTACACGTGGGGAAAACCACGAAAACGCCCATGCAGCCAGCCTGTTCGCGGGATTCGAACCTCGGACCGAACTACTAGTGTTTAGCGACTTTACCGCTCAGCCGCTGGTGGGCCTTAATCGTAGAGTTAAAAAAATTGCTTTTTTAAAAAGAAAATTGCTAGAAAGACATTTAAGTGAATCGAACATAGTCATGCTTGCGTATGTTATTTCTGTACTATAAAAGTTTATTTCGAACACTTTTACTAACTCGTCACTAAAATTATCTGAGTTTGCAGCCTATTTCTTCTCATTCATTGGTTAAATTGGAGCCAAAGTTTGTGGTCAGTCGATGAAATGTTTTGAATGCACAACAACGTGGAGCATAACAACGTGGATTCTGAAAAAAATAGTTTTAATTACGCATTAGGGAATACTGAGAAGAGATGCCTTTAAAAACTGTATTGTTGTATATTTTAAATCCTGAAAATAACAGGTTTCGAAAATTAAGGATGGATAAGAGCAGGATAAAACATACATATGCAAAAAAATAACTGTATTAAAACCAGACTCTTTAGAGAAAAAAAGAGTTACAAAAATACTCAGTTAAACTATACATTTTATTTTTGTCCCATTCCCATTCGAACTTATTACAATATTTGTGGGAAATACTGCAAGTCCTACTTTCTAGTTATCACGAGAAACTACGTAATTTTGGGCACACAAAGTTCTCCCCCTTTTTTTCGTAGACATATATATCCAAATTATGGAATAATAATATGCGAAACAAGGGTGTATATGTCCTCAGTTATAGACCTCCAGTTCCAGTAATTGCAATATGACTTTGTTAAACTATACACTAAGTATGCTGTAGACTAGATCAATGACTTTGATAGTCATAGACTTTGAAGTTTGACCCTCTTGTTGGCCAACTTGGATAAGAAAACCTAGAACTTAGAGACATCAATGGCATATATTTTACAGAGATACGCTAATCACATAGATTTGACTGGAATTTGAGATTTTTAACCGGGATACGATATTTTAACCGGGATTCGAGACTCCTCTTTTGAGTAGGGGGTGAATCGTAAGTTATATTGCCTCGAATCGGCCTACATTAATGATATTAAAGATGATATATGTCTTAAAAATTTTACCTTGACTGTCTGCAGGAATTACGTCAGGACTCTCTATTGTAGAATCATTAGATTCTTCTTTGTAGCTCTGTATTGGAATTTCACACCTATAATAAAAATGAAAAGCAAAATAAATTAAAGAATCCTCTGGTAACTTTTATGATAAATTTATGCTCCATCATCTGCGTTATTGCAGAAATACACCAGAATTAAATCACAATAACAAATTAAAAATTCACTAATTTTTATGAAAAACAATGATTTTAAATTTTTAAAGTGGAATTTATTAACATAAATAAGCATTAACTTCTGATAATGTGGAATTCGTAATTAGTAATTCGTACTAATTCGTAATTAGTACGTTAATCAATTAAACAGATCATTACTTTATATCTGTATGCAACTAAGAAATGGCACAGTTCCAACTCCAGAGGTGGTTAGTTTGAAATAGCTGAACATATCAGTCCTTCAGCATTCTCTTCACCCAGAACAATGACTACAGAGGGTAAACGGGTATTACACTCACAAAAATAACGAAGCAAATATAAATAACTAAAACAACCAAACTTAACAGAGAAGTTTTAAACATATTCTTAGTTTCGGGATAGCATACAGCTTTCGGTAACAACTATAAATGAAAGTAGTAAAAATTTAATTAATTATTAGACCATTAGTTTTCGATTCGTGTGTTATTTAAAAAAAATCCTTTTAGTTTTTTTCTTTCAAATTGATTACAGGTCAATTTGAAAACGACGTTTTGAAAATTGGCCATTGTTCGCCACGACACAAGCGTGCCCCGACATAAAGACACAAAGGTTGTAGAGTCATTAGGTTAATTGGAAGCACTAAAGATGAAAAATATGCAGCCGCCTTCGCCGGGAATCGAACCACGGACTTCTGGATACGGGCCCAGTGTGCAGAACCACTACACCACGAAGGCTCGCTAGGGAAGTGGGAGAAATACCTTATAGGGTAAGGTACGTGGCACGCTTGTAAGATTTAGCTTATATCACTAAAAATGCAGATTTTATTAAGGTTTCGGGCCGTTCATGTGAACGTCTTTATCTTGGCGAATAGTCCTAATAAAAAGCATTCATAACTTGCACAAATACGCTGACAACTTTATGCAAGTTATGAAATTGTCAGAAAATTAGGACATGAAAATGTTTTGTTTTTATGCTGTAGATAAAGGAATTACGTCCAAAAGTTATGAATTTTCGATGAGCTAACTACGACGGGGTTAAGTGGATGGGTTGTTTAGTATGATAACTTTAGTTAATGTTTTGTTTCGGGTGGTGTCATTAAATATTTTTCTTACAATAAGTTTATTCTTATGTATGAATCGTGCAATTAAAATTATTATTTAATCCTTTTTTAGCCATCCATATCAGGCAATGACGCGGTGATATAGCCACTGGAGCCTCGGGAAATTCTCCAAATTCCCAATAGCCCCATTCATTCCTGCCAAAAAGTAACAGTTCGGGAAAAAAGAAAATTTATCTTCTCTTTCTGGAACAAAAATTAGAACTCTTTGCATTTAGATAATACCGTTTGCCAGACAATAGAAAACTAACATTAACGGTCTAGAATGATTAAAAAAATCATTATAGATTGGACCAATTTCCAAATTATCCTAATCAACAGTCATACACTGCACTGTAAGAACAAAGCATAATAATTTGATATTTCAATATTTTAAGTTACCAATTGTTATCTGAACGTTTCAAAGGTCATTTATCTGTAATTCAAAGGAACAATGTAAGGAATCATCGCATTTCTCGTCTCGTAATCTCATGATATTACTGGTTAGCACAATCTTCTTGAAAAAGGGAAGTCCTTGCTTCAAATCTTGGATAAAGAACACATGATTTTTAATGCTCTTGCTCCAAGAAAACGAATAACATAATAACTGAAACAAGAATTTAACAATTCCTGAATATCGCCAACTATATGAAAACAAATTACTGAATAAATCCCTAAAGATGATTTAACACGATTTTAAGGATTTAGTTGACAATATATATTTATACAGTGGTACGAATGAAATATAATACACTTTTACAGTTCAAATGAAAGCAACTTATGTCAGTTTAGCTTTTCCGTGGAAAAGTAACCATTAGCTGGCCTTAAACAAATACTGATAAGAGACAGGAGGGTATGAGGATGACAAGTTATGATATCTTCCATTTGGGGATGAGCGATGAAGATGAATAGGCAGGGGTTGTCGAAATAAATGTTGGTAATAATGATAAAGCTATAAACAGTAAGGCAGGTTTAATGAATATCTTCCATGCATTAAATGTAACAACTTCCTCTATCACCATCCTTTCAACTCTTGGTGTTATTACCATTCAGTAAATATAGCTTGTTTCAACTTGGAGAACTAAAGCAAGGGGAATGAAAAATACTGTTCCTTTATATTATTATTATCTTTTAAGGGACAACGAAATTTTTCTCCGTTTTTGCAGAAATAAAGAGATTATGAAACGACATATTCAGGTGAAATTAGCTGAAATTTCAAAGCCCAAAGAAGGTCGAAAAATGAAATGAAATTCATTTATATTTTTATTTCAAAACTCGTTAAGCGCACTCACTACATTAAACATTCTTTTTTTTTTTTTTTTTTTTTTTTTTTACTGTCTTCTAGTGTAGACCACTTTTATAAATTCTAATGTTTTATGAGCCGTTTTACTCTTTTCCCTTTTGAAAGCAAGTTTTTAGCATATGTTACTATTGTATATTTGTATTTTAAAAGTAATGCTAATTCAGATTCATTTAATTTTATGTTGGCATTATAATGATATTAAGTTATTATGTTAACTAAAAAAGATATATTCTATTTTAGTATTTGAAGTTATTTATATATATTATATTTTAATATTTAAAATTGTTGATAGTTTAATATTTAGGTTTAGATAATGTAAATCTTTTTAACAAAAAATTGAATAAATGTTCGTACCGACCTTAATGGAATGGGTGCATCTACTGGTTCTTGCAGAGCTGCTCTCTGGATGTATGTTGGTAAGTTTAAGTCTGAGATCAGCATATATATCAAGTCGATTACAATTCTTTGATTTTGCTGGTGATGACAGTCATTTTTAACACAGACTGACTGAATTATAATGTTTAAAGCACCGTTGTACAGTCTACTCTTCAACTTTTATTGGTAATAAGGTCCAGAAATTAACCATATCTTCTGCTTGGACTTTCCTTTTATTCTCGTACCATTAGAAAGTTTTATTAACTTTTATTTTTTTTTAACTTCACTCTCTTATACATATGAAAATTTGTTATTTTCATGACCGCAATGAAAAGCACAATTTGTCATATTTGCCTCATGGGATGAAGTTTCAGTGAGAGTATCAAGATGCAAACATATGTCATTGCATTATTTATTTCCAATAAAATATAATCTTCTGCTAAAGAAAGGGTTCTAAGGTTAGAAAAAATGAAAAATTCTCTGTTTTGTTCAACAAATTCACAAATTAAGTTTCTTCTCAAACACCTTTATTTTCTAATGAGCATTGAGGACAATGAAAAAATTACCTCGTAGACTGAGATTAGTATATTTATATTAACAAATGTATCTGATGTGTATGCCAGTGTAGCTCTCTACCTGTTATATACAATAAATTACGAAAAGCCTTTGTTAACGTTCATAAATAACAGGACTTTCTGTCTTGAATCAAAGAGCCTTCCCCGCAAGAGCCAGGGAACTTCAGAATCAAGAAGCTCTTTGTGCTAGATTTCCCTGCCATAAAGAAGTTATGAAAATATTCTGTTTTTCAGAGACTTTGCTTCAATTAAACTTATTACTTTAATTTTCCCTTTAAACATGGTTTGAATTGAGACAACATACGCTAGACTTAATTGTGGTAAAGTAACATGCCGAACTCTTGTTTTAGGAGATTATAAGAATTTTGTTGCAATTTCTTTCTTTCCTTTAATTAGCTATAAAATTGCACGTATTTTACCGAAATTTAACTTTCGGGTCGTTTATTTTCCAATCAATAAAATTCCGAGTTCCATACTTAAGAACCCCATTTCGGATGTGAATTCCTAGGGTATTTACAAGATTCCTTGCCAGTGTGATTTAATTTACATTGGCAAAACTAAGCTTTAAAATTTCGAGTTAATATGAGGCCTACGTTAGGAAAAAAGACACACAGATACCTTCTGTTGCCCAATATATTGTTGGCTCGAAAAATCACACTTTCCATTTTCCTGCAGCCGAAATTGTTCAAAAAATCTTCCATTGGTGAATAATATTTTCTACAGGAATCTCGCATTCAAAAAACCTTTGTGTTCTAGTTAAGACCCTAATTCCAATCCATCTTTACCTTCAGCCTTTACGGAAAATATGCTTCTTCTCAAACAAGAACTTCTCCTCTTCTCAAAATTTACTTGTTTCATCAATAGATGGTGGCACTAGCTTAACTCCTGTCTAGCCATTAGTATCTTATCTTATGACTATGTCTTATCTCGTTCATTTGCACTTTGGCAGCTAAGGCTAATGGTTCGGTGAAACCATCGAAACTAGTGAGAATTTGCAAATATAAGGCTGGTTTTTGTTATTTCTAAATTAATACCTCATGTGTATAAAACAATCGGTCCAGGTAATATTAGGGGCCATAGCTGTAATTTTATCTACAAGCTATCGACGAGCTCATGAATCCTATCCAACCTTAATTTTTTTTCTTTAAATCACTTTTGCAAATTAGTAGGACTACAAATGCAGGCTTTTGGGACCAAAGTTTGAGAAACTCTGCAGTAAGCGAGATAAAGTAAGTAATTAGCATTTCAGCCTCAATTGTTCATAAATTAAAATTTTATGTTAATGGCAGATCATAAGGTACATATATGTACATTAATCATGATTCTTTCATAAGCACACCATTGCTGAGTAAGAAATTTAATTCTTATTCAGCAGCCAGAAAGGCTGTCTCTATTTCGCTTGAGACAAATTCTTCATTCAAAGTCGAATTATTGATCAAAAGTCGAATTATTGTCACGGGAAACTCAAACATATTGCCGATTCAGCCGGATTATTTCAGCAAATAAATAATATACAGAAACTAGTTTGAAGAAAGTTGTAAGATACGAAGAG